CCAGAGATGGCGAGGTCTAATCTGAGTCCCCGTGGTGCCTCACTCCGCTGGACCCACCAGCAGCCCTCGAAAGTGGCGACAGTTTCACAGATCGCAGCCCCCCAGAGATGGCGAGGTCTAATCTGAGTCCCCGTGGTGCCTCACTCCGCTGGACCCACCAGCAGCCCTCGAAAGTGGTGACAGTTTCACAGATCGCAGCCCCCCCCCAGAGATGGCGAGGTCTAATCTGAGTCCCCGTGGTGCCTCACTCCGCTGGACCCACCAGCAGCCCTCGAAAGTGGCGACAGTTTCACAGATCGCAGCCCCCCCCCCAGGGATGGCGAGGTCTAATCTGAGTCCCCGTGGTGCCTCACTCCGCTGGACCCACCAGCAGCCCTCGAAAGTGGTGACAGTTCCGCAGATCGCAGCCCGCCAGGGATGACGTGAAAGGCAAGAGAAGAGAAGAGGAGGAGCGAAGAGAGGAGGAGAAGGCAAGCAAGAGAGGAGAGGAGGAGGGAAGAGAGGGGGGGGGGCGGGAGGAGGAGAACGGAGACCGCAGTGCTCTATTCAAAACGAGTACCCAACGCAGGAGGGTTGGGAATAATTCTTGGTTGCCCCTGAAACCATTGTAGACATCGAGATCCCATGATCCCATGAGTTGAAGCACTGGAATTTCATAATTATTTTGTTTCAACCTCACCCCCTGCTTTTTTTGCACGAAGACCCCGAGGGGCATCCCAACAGACCGTGGCCTGCATGCAGAAAACGTCTAACCCACAGCCCAGGCACTACAACTTGAAACAAAAGGGAAATCCCACCATTCCGTTGTTTCCCAAGTTCGCCCACCTGTCGATTCTTGCACAACAAACCACAATTAAGGCCCCAGACAAGAACCCAGGAAGCCTTCGAGGGCCCCAAGTCGTTGAATACCCGGCTGCAACTTATGATTTCCTCGTTGCCGCAGTTCCCCTTCTATACGATTCTGAGGCTCGCGCAGGACCTCTAACAGAGTCCCTGGACGCAAGAAGCGACAAGGATGATATTCCATGTGTTCGCCCATCAAGCCTAGCTAGAACTTGAGCGCGCGCGAAGCGCGCGCGATGTCTGCGCGCGCGATGGTTCTAGTAATAATGTACGTATGTATGTACGTATGTATGTATGTGTATATGTATGTATGTGTACATGCA